TTTTATAGTGACCCCTCATGGGAAAAGAAGAGAGCTATATATAGAGAAAGACAGAAGCAGAGATGCAGACAGAAGGGGACACAAGAAATATTTGGAAAGATGGTGGCTACTTTCCAAAATTAGTGAAAGATAATACAGCCAAAAAAACCCTGCAGAGGACCCCAAACATGCAAATACCAAAATATATTCTCTCTTTCTCTCTCCACATGCCACATGCACACATGCCCCATCAGACTAACCATAGCTAAACTACTGTGAACCAAAGAGAAACTCACCAAGGCAGTCAGAAAAAGAAGAAACTTTACAGAGAGAGGAACAAAAATAGGAACAGAGTAGCCTTTTCATCAGAAATAATGCAAGCTGGAAAGCAATACAGTGGTTGAGGGAAAAACAAAAACTTGTCAACCTAGAATTCTACACCCAGAGAAAGTGTCATTCAAAGTGAGTATGGAGGCCAGATGCAGTGGCTCACACCTGTAATCCTGGTTACTCAGGAGGCAGAAGTTGGGAGGAGTACAGTTCGAGGTCAGCCTGGGAAAAAGTTAGTGAGATCCCCATCTTACCAATAAGTCAGGCATGGTGTTATGTACCTGTAATTTCAGCTATGTAGAAGGGTTAGGTGGGAGGATTGCAGTCTGAGGCTGCCTCTGAGCAAAAATGTGAGATCCTACCCACCCCAAAAAGTAAAAACGGGCTGGGGGTGTGGCTCAAGCAATACGACGTTTGTCTGGTGTGTGTCCATCCTGGGTCCCAGCCCCAGTCCTGCAAAAAAAAAAACAAAAAAGAGAAAAGAAGAAAGAAAAATGAAGGAAGGGGAAAAAAAGGAAGAACTGAAGCCTGTAACCTTTTGCAGAAGACAGCACATAATAACAACTTGTGCAAAATTTAACCGTTCACTTTTTTGTTGTTTTTTGGTGAGTCTGGGGTTTGAACTCAGGATCGGTGCTTGCAAAGCAGGTGCTCTACTGCTTGAGCCACACCTCCAGTCCAAACTTTAAAAAATTGTGTTTGAAAAAAAGATCAGAGAAGTTAGGAGAATAATTTTGTAACTGAGAAATATCATCTCGAATTGGCTTGCATCTTGAGTGATTAACAATGAGCACCATTGTGAGTTTTTGCTGCCTTATCTTCCAGCCGCCTTACAGCTTCCCATGACTGACTGGCATTCTTTTTAAAAGCAGGAGCTTGCTATTTGAAACGGGGAAAGACAAGCCTTGTAATAAAAAATAATCTGACGGAACAAAGGGAAACTTCAAACAAGATAGTTATCGATGACGAGGAAATCAAGTAAGAAGGCAATGTAAGCCATTATTTTTCATAGCCATAAAATATTGTAAATGATGAGTGGATTTAACCAAACATGGGGGATGAACCCGTGTTGGGCGATGGCTTAGGCGTTAAATCTGTCCTCATGGGGACGTCAGTAACAATACGGACGGGGTCCAAGGCAAAGTTGACATGTGGTTTTCAATCTGATTGTGATCCAAACACATTTTCCTAAGTGTTACTGACCCATGAGATCACAGAAAGGTGAAGCGAGCCTCTCACGCACTCACTCCTATCACTTCCATCTTACAGATAAAGAAACTGAGGCACAAAAGTATTTATGAAAGCTGTCTGAGATCACATAGCTGGAACTGGGGAGCCAGGCTGCCCACTGGGGATTTGGGGCATCCACCTCACTGTATCATGTCCTCGCCATCTATACTGGGCAACAAAGAGGGAAGGGTCCGGGGATGAGCTTCAGATACCCCGGGAGACCTCCAGGCCACAGACAAGGCATGAATGAATGTGTGTGGCCTCGTTTCCACAAAACTTTATGTACAGAACGGGGAGGTGGCCTGGACAGAGACTATGTCCAAGCAGAACTCCAGGATGAGCAGGAGCGTGGGTCAAAGTCTGTCATTTTAATAAAATCACTTCACTTTCTAATTTAAAAAGAGGTTCACCTCTGGATTTTGTTTTATTTTGTATTTTTACGGTATTGGGGTTTGAATGCAAGGCCTCACGCTTGCTAGGCAGGTGCTCTACCACTTGAGCCATTCCACCAGCCCCACCTCTAGCCTTTAAACTAACAAATAATTTTAAAAACTAAGGTAACCATCAAGGGGATAGAAATCTACAGGTTTTAAGGAAATGGAAGGAAAATGGAGTGAATTATAACAGATCAATACAAAAAGAGCAGAAGCAGGCATCAGAAGCACACAAGAACACAACAGAAAACAGGCACACTTCGGCATCACAGGAACACAGACAGACAGACAAAACCAAAACCCAGCCATGTACTCCTGCAAGACACAAAACATCTCCAGAGAAAAGAACAGAAAAAATAGATGAAGCAACTGTCACGGAGGAGAGTTCACACAGATGGAGCAGGACTAGCAACAAAGCAGAATGGGGAAAAAAAAAAAAAAGCAGAATGGAGGGCACGGAGGTTGTTAATGCAGAAGAGTGGGAGACAGATACATTTTGTATCTAAGATTGTGTTACATTTATAAAACTAAGTTTGTAACTAAGTGTAAATCTGTATCCACATTATAACATGGTCTCAGTGGGTAAGGTAGGTAGATTAACGTTGTGTGCGACTGTAGGAAGGTGACAATTCTCCAGTGTAAGATTTTCGCACACACACCTTTCAGTAACTGAATGATCAAGAGAGTGAAGAAAGCCAACGTGGAGGGACCTGACATGGCACTTTCACCTGGCAATTGGGGACTGGACACATCCCAAGCACGCAACATCTGCTTGTAAGCTTCACCAGGCATTAGTCCTAGGAACCCATCAGCAAACCCCAGAGAATCCCACGTGACACCAACGGCCTGAACAGGGCTCTGACAACAGTACGATTAAGTTATTAATATACAGTGCTATTAAAAAAAAGGAAGAACTAAAGCCTGTAACCTGAAGAACTGAAAAAAAATTCTTTTGATGGTATTAGGGTTTGAACTCAGGGCCTATGAGCTTGCTAGGCAGGTGCTCTACCACTTGAGCCATGCCCCCAGCCCTTTCTGCTTTAAGTATTTTTCAATAGGGTCTTGAGTTTATGACTGGGCCATCCTGGACTGCCATCCTACTCATACTACCTACATAGCTGGGGTGACAGGCACCACACCCAGCTTTTTATTGGTTAATATAGGGTCTCAAGAGCTTTTTTTTGCTTGTGTTGGCCTCAAACTTCCTGATTTCTGCCTTTCAAGAAGCTAGGATTACAGGTGTATCCCCCACACCCAGCCAGAGATCAGTAATAATTTTAAGAGGTAACTAAATGCTCACATGCATCTGGAAATTAAGTACAGATATTACACAAATTATATGCAAATAATCAACGAGTGAAGAAAAAACTCAGAATGGAAAGAATTTAGAAATGATAAGCCTAAATTCAACCCCAGTACTGCTGACAGAGAGAGAGAGAGAGAGAGAGAGAGAGAGAGAGAGAGAGAGAGATGAACAATATCAAACCACTGGCAGCTCAGCCACCTGCCAGCTCAGATGCTGGACTGAGGTGGAGGCCAAGGTTAGCTGGGGGAACAGGGGCTCTGGCTGAAGAGCCAGCACTGCACCGAAGGGCCAAGGAGACCCCAGCCACCTGAGCACTTGGTGCTGACTGCAGAGAGGGTGGAGGGAGGGGCAGGGAGAGGCATCTAGACAGACAGACAGGTGGACAGCCAGCTAGGCCAAGGGTGGGCTGTGAGGAACCAGAGGGAGGAGGCAATTGGGCAGATGGGACTCTCTTACACGGCTGGGTCCTGGGACCACCCTGGAGAGAAGGGCCCTTTTGCACTCCACAGCTGAGGTGCGGGTCATTAGCTCTGTCCCCTGAGGCTTCAATACCATGCCCAAAGTTTTGAGGGCTTTGGGCTCCCCCGGGTGAGTCAGCCTCCTCCACCCCTGCTGTTCCTGCTCTGGGGTTGGCAGTGCCCATCTATCCCTGGAGGAGAATGGGGGGCCAGAGACCTTTGTGGTCACTGGGCACACACTCCACATCTGTCCTGCTTGTCAGCCCTGGCCAGGGGATTCCTGCCCCACCTACAGGCAGTACCTGCTTCTATTTCACAGGGAACTGCCCAGTGGTGGTGGGTGGACTTCCCCCGACTCCCTCAAGGAATATTCTAGTATCACAGGTCCTAGGGTCCTGGTGCTAGAGCCAGGCCAGGTAAGTGTTCACCTGCAGCTTTGAGTCCTGTGTGCTCACCCACTGCAGGAGTACAGCCAGCCCCCAGATGTGTAAGTACCACCCTCATGTGCACACGCCCCCCCAAGCTCAAGGGATGAAGCTGGGAGCAGGGATGAGTGTCTGGTGACCCCACCCAAAGGGGAGCATCAGGCTCCTCAGTGTGGGTCTTTGTGAGGAGGACAAGAGATCAGTGTGTGTGTGTTGTTGGCGGGGGACGGGGATGGAGGTTCCTGGGATAGCCTGGTTCCAGAGAAGGACGGACCTGGCCACACCTCCATCTTGGTGGGTTCCCAGCTTGGCCTATTCCCACTGTTCTGCAATAGTTAAAGTCACCAGGTGCTTGTGACCACGACTGGGGCCTTCTGCGGGTCAGCCTTGAGAGAGGGGCCAGGTAAGCTGGCTGGGGGAGAGAGCCTTAGCTCAGGAACATGAGCTCCTGCTGCCGGGCCGCCCAGGAACTGCGGCCGCACTCACTCCACACTCCGCAGCGCTGGAGTCGGGGAGGGGGCTGGCTGGCTGGCTGGGGGGCGGGGAGAGGGTTGTCTGCTGCATCCAGGAGTCCTTCAGAGGCAGAGAGGAGGATGCAGAGCCTGCAGAAGCAGCCGCGCCAGCCCAAGCCCGGGTGGAGCTTTCTGGAAGGGGCCGCGGGCTCCCTGCAGGTCAGTGTCCCCCCTGCAGCTTCTCTGGAGTCAGCAGCATGGGCCTGGGGGCCGGCGGGGCTCTGGGCAGACCCGCCAGCCCCCATTCAGCAAGGCTGGCTCCTCCTGGGGGCACACACACCGCGGGACGGGACGGCAGGATCTGGTTGCAGGGCGAGTTCACTCACCTCTGCTGTAGAGGACACCCAGGGCCACCAGGGCACCTGTCACCAGCAGCAGCAGCAGCAGCAGTCCCCCCTCCAGGAAGCCTCTGCGCTTCTGCTTAGGCTGGCCAGCTCTCTCCACCATCCCCATTGGGCTCTCCGACTTCCCCATCAGCAAGACTCCAGACGGACAGGAAATTGCACAGCTGAGTGACCTGCAGGCCAGGGCAGGGGAGAGGCAGCAGGGAGCTCCTGATGCCCTGTCTGCCAGCTGGGAGCTGGAGCTCTCAGGATGCTCAGTGCCCTTCTCCCCTCCTAAGCCTACAACTCTGGCCCTGGGCACCTGGGTCTCAGAACTCTCACACCGGTCCTGGGCAAGAGTCTCAGAGTGTCCCAGGCTCTCTGTGCTGGGGAGGCCCGTGGCTGGTCCTGGTGACAGACTGGTCTCAAGGTCAGCTCCTCTCTAGCCTGGCTCTCTGGCAGGCAAGAAGTGTTCCTGTGACTATTCTGCTCACAGCCTGGGGTCTACATGCCAAACTCAGGACGCTCAGTGCCCAGTCTGTCCAGTGGCTCTGTAGTGGGGCCTGCCTGGACTGCTTGCTCCTGGGGAGGTCCTGGAGCTGTGGGCTTGGACACTGGGTCAGGGATGTGGTCAGGAAGGTGTTCCAGGCTACTGGACTGCCTGCCAATTTTTCCTGTTGGAACCCAGGAGCATGGCGGGGGTTGGGGGGGGAGAGTGTGTGTGCACGTGAAGAATAATGGGCACTCAGCATATGATGACCATGAAGATCTAGAAGGGAGTGGCAGGGTCACGCAGCTTGAAACCCAGCCCGAGCAGCTGCCTGGCTGGGTGCAGCTCTGGCTGTCTCCCCACCTTGTCATCAAAGGGAGGACACCTTTCTGAGCCAGCTGGACAGCAGGCAGGGGTGGAGGATACACAGGATTGGGGACAGGTTGCTGCTGTGGGTGGGCAGACGGCTTAGCAGGGAGGGTGGTGGGGACAGGGACAGTGCACTTGACCTGGTGCTGAGCTGGAACTGGGCCCTGGGTCTCGCTCCTTCCCTTCTCACCTACAGTTGCCTCCCTCAGGCTCTGGAGCCGGGCCTCCCCTCAAGCCATGAGAAGGCACCTTCAAGGATCTCTGGTCCCCCTGACAGTCCTCTCCTCAACTTGCTGAAGCCAGACCTTGGAGTTGTCTTTGACACCTGTTGGACCCCATGCATCTGTTCCTGAGCCTCTAGTTCTTCTAGGTCCTGACCCTTTCTCCTGTCTACTCCTCATTGCCTGCCCCAGGCCTGCTGTCTCCCCGTGCTGTGCCAACAGCTTGTAAAGCAGCTGGGTCTCCCCTCAGTCCCAGGCAATCCCTTAATGGGGAGGTCAGAGGACATCACTCCCCTGTGCCTTGGAGGAGCGGTGGTCCCCCCGCTGTCATCTCAGGGCTCTTGTGGCCCCATCACCTCATACAGTGTTCTCTGCCATCGTCCCACTAGCCTCAGGCAGGCCCCTCGCTCCTCAGAGGCCTTCTTGTCAGGACCCTTCTTTCCCCCAGCTACCTACCAAGGGTCACTTTTCAGGGACCTTCCCTGAGCTGGGCTCCAAATTCAAGTGAGCAAGCCTCAGCCTTCCCTGCTCCATGTCACAGTTTCACACCTACAGCACTGTTCCTATTTCTATTGTCCCAATGTGGGGGAGCTCCATCTGTGCCCGCCACTGGGGTATCACAGCATCTGCTGAGTGAACAAGTGAGTGGACAAACGAAGCAGCCCTGCTGGACAAGCCTGGGCCTGGTGTTTGTGGCTGATTCCACTAACTCTTGTGACTGAATGATCAGCTGGTCCACTCAGGCATTCTGCTAGCTCACTGTAGGTCCTGAAGACCCACAGTGCTTTCATGTGCCGATGAGGTACATGGACAAAACCTTCCAACAGGGCCAGGTGGCCGGGGCAGGTGTGAGGTGTCTGTGATGGACATGAGACAAAAGAGCCCAGCCATGGCTGAGTGCTGAGGTGGCTAGGCCCTGCTGTGCCTGGCTCTCATCTCCCTGGGGTCATCCAGGAGCCTCTCTGGGTTGCCATGGAGGGGAGACCTTTCAGCAAGGGGCTGCTGGCCTGGGTATGGGTGATACCACAGGTGATGTCTGTCCAGCCCCGCCTGAAACCAGCTGCAGCACCAGCATCTTTACACGCTGCCCAGGGGAGCAGACTGGACAGGCCCTTGCCCAGCAAACCTCACCTTTTGATCTGTCAAGAGTGGCTGCCACCTGGGCAGGTCACTGAAGGCTGGATTGGGATGGCCCAGGCCAAGGGTGTGGGCTCCTGGTGGAGGAGAGTAGCATCAGGCTGGACCTCGCTGTGAGGTCATGGGGCGCTGGCTTCCGGGGCTTCCTTTGTGATGCGGTGTGGGCAACCTGGACGGTTCCGTGGGAGCTTCAGCGAGGGGGAGGGGTAGATGCAGCGCCTGGCCTTGGGACCCCAGGTCCTCCCCGCTCCACTCCTTCTCTTGACCTTTCAGTCCAAAGGGGCTCCAGAGCCTGATGGGAGGTCAGGCTCTTTACTCACCTGCCCACCTAGCCTAGGAGCTATTGCCCAGGGGTTTCTGCACCTGGCCACTCATGAGGGGTTTGTAGGCCTCTCCTTGGGTGACCTGTCCCTGATAGGTTTCTGGGACCTTGCCAGATGTAAGGGAGGGGGTGTGCCCTGTTCTTCATGACGGGGGTGGGCTGGACTGCAGGATAGGGGTCCACCCAGAGATACTAGCAAGGGGTTTGGCTGCTTCCCAGAGCTCACAGGGAGCTGTGAGGTTCAGGCAGGCCCCTAGGGAGCAGGGAGAATGATTTCTGGGCTCAGGAGCTGTCCTTCAGGGCTGCAGAGTGTGGCAGACAGAGTGGGCAGGGACTCCAACCTGCCTGCTGATGGTGGGACTCTGTGAGCCCAGGCTTCCCTGTTCCCAGGCCTGAATCCATTACCAGCTTCCATTTCACACCCCAAAGGACAGGTGCTCCTGCCAGATCTCTGGCCTCTAAGAGCAACTGGGTGAGGCAGAGCAACCAGCCCTTCATAGCCACCCTCACCCCTTTCCACGTGGGGTGCTGTTGGAAGCTTCTGAAGATCTGCTCATGTCCTGGGAGGAGAGCATCCCAGAGTCGGTGTCAGATCCTAGATGCCCCCACTTTCCAGCACAGTGAAGATTCTGCCTCAGTCCCCTGGCTGTTCCCTGCAGCCCCCTTGTTCTCAGAAACCAACTAGAGCTCAGAGCTGAAGCTTGGCCTTGAGGCTGTCTGGGCTGTTGGTCCAAGTGAGAATGAGATCAAAGTTAGCAAAGTGAGCAGCTGAGACCTCTCACACACTTTCTGGGGAGCTGGGAGTGGACCAGGGTCCAGCCAGACTGATTGGAGGCATGGTGGCCCTGGGGAGTAGCCAGAGTCCTTCAGAGACTATCTGCTCTGATACCCTGATGCCACAGGTCCTCAAGGTGCAAAGCCTCAGAGGGAGAAACAGAGGGGACAGTTCTGCCACTCAGTAGGCCTTCTTAGCCTCTGAGTTCCCCAGGACCGGCTCTGCACATCTCATCCCCAATCCCTGGTCCTCAAATTCAGCCCAACCAGAGCAGCCCCTGTCCAGCTGGGGCCTAGGGTTGGCCTGTCTCTGGGACTGAGCTCTATTTTCTTTCCCCAAGCTTGGAGCTTGGTTCTCCCCCAGTCTAGGCATAAGCATGAGGCCTGGGGTCCTGGGTGGCATCTGAGAAGCAAGGGAATCCTGAAAAGGATTCCCCAGACTGAGAGGCTGCAGATCCCAGTTCAGTCAGGGCCCTGCACGTGCACCGATGCTCAGACTTCACGAGGTGCATGCCCAGAGCACACAAACACCCATAGATTGTCCTCACTGCCCCCAGAGGTGGATTGAATTGTTTTTCCTAGAGAAGGTCAGGGGAAAGTGGGGCTCCTTGTCTACCCCTCTCTCGGCCAGTACATGTGGGATGTGGAGACTTTAGGTTCAGTTGCAGTCCAGGGGTCCAATGAGGTGGCCGTAATGAGTGGGGAGGGCATGTGTAGAAAAGTGGCTTTCACTCATGCTGCTACGGGGAGCTGCCCTCAGGTCCCACAGATGCCCGCCCTGGACTTCCAGCCCTACCCTGACTCCACCTGGAAGCAGGTCCTGTACTCTGTGCAGCCCAGTCCCACCTGCAGGTTTCTGCATTTGGTGCTGACGAACCAGCCTCTAGACGCCCCTGCACATATCCTGGGCTACCTCTGAAGTCTGGCCATGCAGACCCTGGGTGGGCAGAGGGTCCAGGACTCTTTCTCTGCCTGGGGTCTCCCTCACTGAGCTACTAGCCCGGCCCCAGGAGAGGAACCTCAGGCCCTTTACCTGTAAAATGGGGCTTTGGTGGGTTTGCCAGAGTCAAGCAGGAGAGAGAACACATGCCAGTGCCAGTCACAAACATGTGGCCAAGATTTACTTGCCAGGGGCTGGGGCACCAGAAGAGGGCTGGTCACCTGAGCTGAGAGGGGGACTGCAGTCTACTGGGTCACCCGTCTCTGAACTTTGCAACTGCTACTTCTGTGATGCCTGGAGTTATTTTTATCCTGGTTACATGAAGACAACTTTATAAGGAATTGACAGCTCTTTATAGTAAATTGGTGCTAGTGGAATCATTGATGTGATTCCTGCCTCTGAGTGGACCCTGCCTTCTCCAGCATCGGTGCTAGGGGAGATCCCAGGCACCAGGCCAGTGGAGATGGTCACTTGGCTGTCCCTGGTCCGACTGCAGGGCTTCTTGGTCACTCCAGCTGCACCCTCCCTCATTGTGAAGTGCCCAGCATTCACAATGTGACAGCAGTGACAGTGACCACAAGGGCTGTGGGGGTTCCCCTGGCCATCAACAGCTCCAATAGGAAGGAATGACAAGTCCATGCCTCTAGACTTGGGCTAAGTGCTGGCTGCCACAGTCAACCTGCAGGAGCCCCCTGTGTCCTCAGGGCTGATACTGCTGAGTGTCAGCCACAGACTTCTGTCAGCTGTGTGATGACAATGTGGGTGGCATTTTGGGCCCCTCCAATTCTTAGGAGAAAATTAGGGTGCCACAGGAGGGAGCAGGACCTTGAAACTTGGAAGTGGTATCATCTGCTTAGGCTGAGGTGAATTTGAGAACTCTGAACCCCCAGCCCTCTGA